ATCAAAATACCACTGCGCGGACTGAGCAAAGATAACAACAGACGGACGAAGAGCGTAACACGGGGCTAGAAAGGGATAGAGAACGTCTAATTGCAAGATGTGCTCAACGCACAGAAAAATAATGGGAGGCTGAGCGAGAAAGAGCTCGCACCCGTCGTCTATGTGTTCGACTTGGACATGCACTGGCAAACCACAAAGACTTCAACAAGTCCCGCGTTTCGGGACCAGATGTGGAAGATGATCGACGTGTCCTCCCCCCTTTGGAGCAATGCGACAAGTACCGAGCATGGAAATGACCCGGTGAGTCTAAAATGTCTTGCTGTTTAAAGGGTGTTGTTCAGCTACGTCCGCTAAAGCCTGTTCCAGATGCCCTCCCCAACTTTTATAAAGACATGCAGTTCCGGAAAAATTTCCGGGCATACAACAGTGCGTTCGGAGTGGTTTCGGCTGGAGCACCTGACGATAAAGGACATATTGGACCTGTGCGAGAGGATCGGTCTGTTCAAGGTGCTCGCGGTATCTACACGCACCGGGTGCAAGGTGAATTTTCACACTACTTGGGAACTTCTATTCCTCCGATCGACAGATCTACAGGTGAGATGAGATCACCAACTTTTGCGCAGATCTACGTTGTAGATGAAGATATACGAAAGCAAACTGAGCGTCGGACCGGGATCTTTTCAGGTCTCGATCAGGGGATACGGATGACACTTGACATGATGCTGGCACAGTGCAATCCGAACGTGGGACAGTTTATTTCGCATGGAGAAAAGATTCGGAAGGATATTGCGGAGGGAAAAGAGACCGTCAATTTGACCCTACATCTACATTCTGATAAGCGTCGACCGGGAATCACGAACTTACCTACTGTGAGCGAGGTCGGTGTTGTGATGGTGGACGATGGGAATTCTTGAAATCCTCGGGACTTGATCGTGTACCCTAAACAGCCCGACCTGTTTCGTATTTTCGAGAGCAACCCAATGTACGACCCATTAATGTATCCGCTGTTGTTCCCTATGGGAGAACATGGATGCACCTACGGTGAAAAATATGCAAACGGTGCCAAGCGGCATAACAAAGACACGATGTCGCTACGCGAACACATTGCATTTCGCTTATTCCCGGATCCAGAAAATGGATCCGGTTTACACGATGGTGGACGTGCTTACTAACAATGGCGTGTCGACCAGCGTGCTAAAGTTGAACAAGAAGCTTTGCGATGGAGTCATAACAATCAAGATGCACTCAGAGCTGATTCATATGCCGGGCTAGCGGATGCATACCACAGCGAAGCACCTGACGTCGTCGAAGAGGCGGAGTTTCGCGTTTCAGAATACAACCAATCCACAGGAAGGTCGGATGATCCTGTGGCAGCCGGGAGACTCCCATGGCACTTCTTGGATTAAGTGGGCAAACGTGTCATTCTTCCAAACCCCTCCTGATCGATCGGACATCGTGGCGCGGGTGTGGAACCAAAAGCTCCGTGCTTTTCTTCATGATCTAGACGAATGAGTACCTGGACGCATACTTGCACGGATTTACGTGGTTGAATTCCAGAAGCGAGGTCTACCACACGCGCATATTTGATTATCTTGACAGAAGAAGACAAACCACGCACCAGAGATCTTATCAACAAGTCGATGTCTTGTGAAGAAATTCCCGACGAGGCCACAAACCCGGAGTTATACGAAACGGTAATTAACTGCATGATGCATGGTCCGTGAGGAAGTCAAACCCCCAACTGCGTCTGCATGGTCGATGGCAAATGCTCCAAAAGGTACCCGAAGCCTTTGGTTGAAGTTACCCGTGCCAACATCGACGGATACGTCGAAGTCCAAAGGTGCCGCCGAGCACCGTCAACTGCACAACCGCATGGGATTTGTCTTGAACGACGTAGTCGAGTAGCCGAATACACGCTTCGACGGGAGATATGTATCGCGCGTTGAGGTAACGAATGATTTCGTTTGGTTCAACTCGTACCCTTGTACCACGTTCTCTTTCATTTTCCACGGATTCAATGGTAAACATTGCCTTGTCGGAACCTTTGTACACGTATTTGTACATGTACTTGACCACCGTAATTCCAGTACGTATCTCAATGTTAATGTGGTAGTTGTACTTCTGTGACAGGTACGGATTGTAAGGTACAACCCACTGGTTTACCGTTGCGTTGGCGTATTCACGGTTTTTGAACTTTAGTTTGCCTGGTGGCCGACCTGATCGAAGCATGAAACTTTTTACGTCTCATCCAAAGACCATTCTTCCAGGTGAACTACTTCGGAATGTCTTGATACAGCATAGTTTTAGCAATCTGATTGACGGGATCGTCACTGGCACATAACCCGAAGAAACGTGTCAGCATAGAATGGTTGGTAAGCTCCAAAACTTCTTCTGGGCCTTCCCAAACTGGTGGTCGGGGAATTCGATCCGAACTCCCTATTCGAGATGGAACTGGGGGCGATCCAGTTCACGTCGATCATTACATCGAGATGTTGGGCGATCCCGAACTGGAAGATCGCCTGACACTATTACGATTGGCTGACGTCGACGAACTCGAGGAAGCTCTCCGTGCGAGGGAACAAGCCAAGAGCATGCAACGCAGATCCGCGTTCGGATCGAAATTTCGACAGAAGGCCCCGACTAGCGCTCCGACATCACCAGCTCGTGCCATGGTACGTGCGATCCAGGCGCAGGATCCGAGCTCCGCGTCAAAAGGGGTCTCGGAATCTGACGGATCCGACTCGGAAAGCGAACTTCGAAGGATCTTCCTGGCCGCGGCAGTAGAGAAGTTAATTAGTGCTGGGGGCGCTGCGCAGAGCCAGGATCCCGCACGATCCCGAACAAAAACGTCTGAGGTAGGCTGGATATCAGATCGTCGCGGTCCGGGAGACGAAGATCACCAAGACCGAGACCGCTGTCCTCATTGTGGGTCCGGGAAACATACGGATCTGGATTGTTGGAAGCGTCTGACATGTGAAAAATGTGGGAAGAGAGGCCACTTGACGGATCGCTGGTTGTATGCGTGTCGTGGGTGCAGGGACGTCAATGAGGCAGGATAATGCCCCATGGAAGAATTCTACAACCAGATTCGCAAATGGTATGATCCGACTCGACACGCCGGGCTGTTCCCTGAACAAGTTGAGAAGATGTTAAACTAGGACGCTCGCCGGGGTGGAATCTGGTACGAGCCGAGCGTTCTAGATATTGCATCTACGCCTACGTGAACAAGGCGACGGCAGATCGAGGTAGGAAGGAGTCGGAACTACGCGGTAATACATGTAATTTGCATTCGTACACCGCCAGGATCGCGAGCCTCCCTCGGAACGGCGAATTTAGCCGATCTGGAGTGGCCCTGGATCACAACAGACGAGAGTCCCAGTCCCGGGGGTATTGGAAACGTCATACACCGGTGCAATGGTTCCGACAAGCTAAGATCTCAGGCAGGATCAACCAAGAGAGAGCGATCCTGCTCCTAGAGACTGGCGCTGATGTATCAATCATGGATACTACCTTTGCTCGTAAGGTGGGATGTCACTTTAACACTAGTCAGAGACAGTAATGCGTGGGAATCGGTGACAACGTGTATACCACAGAAGGGAGAACCAGGATCAAGATCACGTTACCGGGATATCTGGTGTATTTTTTACATACGGATTAAATATCTATCAGGACAGAACGCGATCCTAGGCATATATTTCATGGTCCCAGCCGGCGTGCGGATGGACCTCGCCGACGGATCGATTCGCCTACCGGACGAGGTTGGAATACCGCTTAATGGTCATAAGAGACTGTATAACGACAAGATGAGATCAGTGGCCCTCGAACGAAATCTGCGAATCCCGGTTGGTCAGTCGGAAGAAACAGCGGCGAGGATAAAATTGTCAGCCACAGAGAAACTGTGGGTGACCAGAGGAGAACGATGGGTACCGACAGTAGCTAAGGGTCCCCGCTGGATCCGCTACCTGGTGATCTCGAATATCGGAGAAACGATCCTACGCCTAGACCACCGTCTAGACGTCGGAATGATACTAGATCAGGACAAAGTACCCCGATCTCCTGGGTTCGTGTCCGTCGGGTCTCACCGATACAGGGAGTGGCAAAATGTGGCATTGAAATCGACGGTGGATACTCGATCAGAGCCTCCAGAAGCAACAGAGGGTCCTGAAGAGCCAGTAGTACAGCGACCAACGTACCTCATACCCCGATCGCTACTTCGACGTGCCGAAACCGCCGACATCAACCGGGATCGTGCGTTGATATCGACCCTCGAGACTCCATCGCGGGCGGAAATGGCTAACGCAGCCTAGATCGAGGCAAGGCCTCCCAATCCGAAAAGTGTCATCCGCCTACACCACCGACAAACCTCAACGCCGGTCGATCCCGGTGCGGCAATGCTGGGCGCGGCCGGATAAGCGAGAGCATGTCGGACCAAGCCCCCGATCGGACTGGCACCAAGGATATCGAGCCGAAAACCGAAAATCCGAATTGTCAAACCGGGACCAAGCCCGAATCCGGCGAAGACTACGGCGTAAACACCCGAATCCACCAGACTGAGGGTGCCGAACTACATGATTCATCAGCGGAAGGAGCAGCAGCGACCCTCCCACAGGATACCGAGGACGATGATGAGATATACTACCACGAGAGTGGTGATCTCTCAGCCGAAGATCTCGCCGTCAATCTCGCTGTGCTCCCCGAAATTCCGATCGCGACAACCGCGAAAGTCAGTATCGAAGATCTGCAGGTAGGAGATTCCGGATCAGCCACCCCCGAGGGGATCGAGAAACTCCGGCAGATCATTTGGAAGAAACAACATCTCTTGGTCGGTAAGGGGAACGCCCAACCGCCGGCTGCCAGGGGCGCCGTATGTGACATTGATGTCGGGAACGCGAAACCGATCGCGGTGCAATCCCGAAAGTACCCACACCGTTCCGAGAAAAAGTCGCAGGCCTGATCAAGGGACTCCTAGCAGCCGACATCATCCGACCTTCGACGTCGCTATGGGCCTCACCAATAGTGATTGTCCGCAAGCGTTACGGCGTGGGTATCAGGCTGTGCATCAACTACAAGCTGGTAAACGGCCTATGATGTATCCTATGCCTCTGATCAGCGATCTGCTACAGGGCCTCGACAAGCCTTTGTGGTATTGATCACTAGATATGGCGAGCGGCTTCTGAGTCGTGCTCATGACGGATCGGGCTTGCGAGATATCAGCATTTATCACTCCGTTCGGCCTATTCGAGTGGAATCACATGCTTTTTTCGCTCCACAGATCTATCAACGCCTCGTGGTTAACGTACTGTACGGATTTCTGAAAATCCCTCGGTCAGGTGACCCTGGAAACAAAAAAGGACTTTTTCAGACAGCGATCGCAGACAATCCTGATCGCCACACGGTGTTGGGTCGTAGATCATACATCGACGACATCATGAGTGCTGCGGAATCGTGAGATCAAATGTGCCAAAGGGTGGAAGACCTGCTGGAAGCATGTGATAAGCGGAATTTATCGATCAGTGTGACCAAGAGCTTCTGGGGCCATGAATGAGGTAGAATACCGGGGACACCGAGTGTCGATAGAAGGGCTAGAGGTGAACCCGAAAAATCTAAAATCTCTGACCGATCTGCCATTTCCCGGGTCACTTCGATCCATGCAGTCGTTCCTCGGTAGTCTGAATTATTACAGCCGATTTATTGAGGACTACGCTATATATGCCTCAGTTCTATATGAGCTACGCGAGGTGGAATTTGCAGAACGGGAGAAACGATCGGATCTGAGGAAGATAATGAACCAGAATGACCCTATCGCGCGGGACAATGACCCACCGGAACCCCAGCCTGTGGAACCATTAGATGAGAGGTGGATCAGGGCTCATAAGGCTTTCATCATCGTGAAGACCAAGATCGCGACGACGCCAATCCTCCGCCACTTCGACTAGACGAGAACGTCGGTAGTGACTGTATATGCCAGTAATTGCGCGATTGCTGCCTCGTTCATGCAAAAAAACACGACGGGATTTACCATCCTGTTGCGTTCGCCAGCCGCACGCTAAAAACGAATGAGCTGAACTACAATGTAACAGAAAAGGAAGTGTTGGCATTGCTGAGGATCTTGGACCTCTACTACAATTTATTGGTGGGACGTGAGATCCGGGTCCTGACCAGGTATTCCACGCTGGCCTGGCTATTCAAGTCGGCGGGACTACAAGGTCGTTTAGGACAATGGTCCGCCATCCTGGCTCCCTGGGCGCTCCAGATCACGAGATACACGTAAGGAGAAGACGGGATACTGGGGGCGACCGCTGCTAGCATCCCACCGATGTCAAAGATTGACGACGCCTTAACCGCTATCGCGCCCCGGAAGGAACCCAAACGTCCGACCCAAACGTCGATACCCACCATGGTTCGAGAAGAGGAATTATGGGTGGTTAGGTTTGACGGATCGCCTCGGGTGAAGCGGGGCGGGGCGCATTCAGCTCGAACGTGTGTAGTCCTGCCAGGGTGGAAGGTGGTCAAGGCCAGATCATGCTATATCAAGAATCTCACCCTGAATGAAGCAGAAGAGTACAACGTCCCCCTATTGGGACTCGACATGCTAGCGATCCTCGACCGTAAGCGCCTAGTGATCTGCGGAGATTTTAACCTTATGATCCGGCAGGTTCGGGGCGAGATCGATTGCAAGGCACCCGGGCTGACGCTATTGACGCAGAAAGCTGTCGATCGCTTGAGGAAATGGAGTGATCATGATCTAGTCCATGTGAAGCGAGATTACGATGGTAGTGCCGACGGCCTAGGGAGTGCCGCTTTGCAACGACTAGGCGGGATCGAGGTCCGTAGCGATGTGGAACACAAGATCTGGTTACCCTGAATCGGTGGACCAGATCCTCGTACACAAGACCGAGAATCCCGTGGTACGATTTGCAGCAGTGACTACAAGAGCTTCTCGAGTTAGGCAGTCATGGAAGTGGACTTGATCCGAGAAACGCGAGTTGGTCGGATCGGACAGGCTCAGGATGAGGAGGTCTGGATCACAGGAATGAAGAAATATCTGAGTGCTTCGATTGCCGACCTCACCAAGCGGAAGCCTGATCGTACGGCAAGATCGCGGCCGATTACGAGGTGGTCGAACAAGATCTACTCTTCTACTGCCCTCCCACACCGAGATCGGGGGACGATCTCGATCGGTTGCTGAGACTGGGATGACCTGAAACGCTGCTATCGGAGTCTTACACCACTATCATTCTATGTTAGAGGGCGGGCATCAGAGAGTAGGTTGTACCTACCAGCGGATCCGAGATCACTTTCACTGGAGGGGATTATACCAGAGCGTTCCGAGATAGGTGGGAGAATGCGGGCCTGCGAAACTGGTAAAGGTAGTGTGGCATAGCGCCTCCTAGTTTCCCCCGGTGGGTTGGATGCCGCTCCCCGGGAGGACGTGCCACACCTTTCCCCGAGAGAGCCGGTCAAGGGCTCTCGGGTCCTCGG